TGTATAAGAACTACATTTTAAAGATCCATTCATCTGTTGATGGACATATAAGCTGTTTCCAAGATTTAGCTATTACGTTGGGCATGGTGGCACACACCTGTAATCTCAGCACTCAGGAGGCTGAGGCAGGAGGATTGCCACAAGTTTGAGGCCAGCCTGAACTACAGAGGAAGTTCAAGGTCAGCTGAAACTACACAGCAAGGCAAGTCAGCCATTCTTGAGAGTGAAATTTGTCGAAGACTTTGTGATTATCTTGTGTATGACTTTATGAGCTCTTACACTGTAAAGCAAGTGTTTATTTTTTTCTTTACATGATATGACACTTGAGCGTCTCTCTCCTTTTGCTTGCTAATTTTTTTGGTTCAAGTGGTTGTCTAAATTTATATTGGTTTCCTCCAGCCAGTGTGGCTGGCAGAATCTCTTATTCTTTTTGTTGATTTTCCCCAATTTAAAAATGCTTAGGAAAATAGGATAATTATAATTACCTATAAAATTAATAATCAGTGTTTCTGTACTGCTTTAAGAACAGACAGCACTTTAATGTGTTTCAGTCCTTTGAAATTTCATCTCTTTGCTTCCCCGGTGGGGTGGAACTGTTGCCACAGCTGTGTTTCTAGAGGAGATCGCTGAGCCCAGACACCTGTATCACAAACTGCCTCACCCTATAATTACGTTTTGGGATGCTATTTTATAGTTGACTTTTGAGAATTGTATTTGTGTTTGATACTAAAATATAAAATATAATTTATCTATTAACCTGTATCCTATGTTCCTGCTACATGCAGTGGTTTGTAGATTCTGTAAGATTTTCCACATAAACTAAATAGTTGTCCACAAATGGAGACTACTTTAGTTCTTTCTGTGTAATATTTTCCTTCCTTCCTCTTCCCTCCCTCCTGTTTATTTTTTGCCTTATTATAAGGTACATGCTAGAGTAAGGGGCACATATTTGAGCTTTTTTTTTTTTTTTGGCAGAGCCGGGGATTGAACTCAGACCCTTGCGCTTGCAGGGAAGCGCTTATTCTATTGAGCTAGGCCCCCTCATATTTAAGCTTATGCTGTTACAGTATTGTTGTGGTAGAGTCCTTTGTATCCTGGCTTATAAAGCCTAGATACATTGTTAGAATTTTTCTACCTTAAAGTACTCCAGTTATTGGAATTTAAAGTATTTATTTATTTATATTTTAGGGAACAGTCTACAGGGTGTTCAGGGTCTCACTACCAGATCCGACTTATAGTGATGAACCTGCTTACAGCCTCTCAAGAGCTGCGATTACCACGCTCAGTCTCAATTGCTGTCTCAGCACACCCTGGGGGTGGGGCTGGCACGGCAGGCCTGGGGATTGAACCCTTGGTCCCTGTGCCTGCTTGCAGGTGCTTTAATCCGCTGAGTTATTTGGCTGGCCCTTAAACAATTTTTTTTTTTACATATTTATAGTTAATATCAGTGTTGGTTTTGACATTGTAATTTGTGCTTCACCAAAGCAATTTTGACAGATGTTGGTTGGCAATTTTGACAGGTGTTTCAGAAGTCTGTTTTTCATTATTTGGAGGGGTGAGGCTAGCAGGAGCTTGATGAAACCCACATCCTCAGAGGAAAAGTGGCTGCTTTTATAGTCTATAGAGAAGCAAGTTGTGCAAAGTAAGAGAAAAAGAGAAATGAAATTAAGGGAAACACTAAATATTTAAAATGTGAGCAGTATCTTTGACTCTTTTAGTGTAACCTCCATGGTGAGACAATGTCATATGCTTTCTTTTTTTTTAAAATTTTTTATTTTATTTTATTTTTTTTTATTTGTGTGTGTGTGTGTGTGTGTGTGTGTGTGTGTGTGTGGCCAGCTCAGCCCACTGGGGGGCGGGGCTGGCATGTGGTGCTGGGGGATTGAACCGCGGTCTCTGTGTTTTGCTAAGCTTGTTCTAAGTAGGTGCTTTAGACCACTGAGCCATCCCACCAGCCCATCATATGCTTTCAAATGTGGCATAGGAAGAGAAAAAGAGGAGGTGCAGTCTAACTCTGATAGTTTCAAGCTTGTGAACTTGTTTGTCAAAACTGTAAATAAAAATACTCATTAGCAGCTTATAGAAATTCACATTAGATATAATATACTACGAAAAGCACCTGACATATATCTGACACACGATAGGATATAGCTATGATTATTGTGGGAATGTATCTTTTATTATTTACTTTTCAAGTTATGTACTTATTAAATTGTCATATTTTACTCATGTCACTAAACGTTGGAACTAATATCTTTGAAGAAACGAGGATCTTAATAAAACTTTATGTTCCAAGAGATTGCATGGAAGAATGAGGAAAAAATGATAAAATCTGACAGTAATGATAGTCCTGGATCTTTTGCCAACTTTTTCCACCTCGTAACTACCATTTTCCCTTTTTAAAAGCCAGGCAAGTGTGTTTATTTTGCATGGACTTGGAGTATTTCTTCTGACTGTGAGTGGCACCTGTATTTGGTAAACTGAGGGCCTGGCTTGCTGGGAGTTCTTGCAGCTGAGAGTAGGGGTGGGATCTGTCATTGGTAACTTTTTTTTTCTTTTTCTTTTTTGGTGGAACCGGGGATTGAACTCAGGCCCTTGCGCTTGCCAGGGAAATGCTTATTCTACTGAGCCATCTCCCTGGCCCCCAGGGGATCTGTCATTGGGAGTGGCCCTGGGGCTGTGGAGGGGTCACCGCAGATGTGTACGTGAGTGGTGGTGGACAGTAGCTAGGCTGATCTTCATGGCCTACCTTTCTTCCCCCCTCTCATTTTCTATATCTGGACAGTGTGCTTGGCTAGGTGTCCTTGGTTAATGTTTTATCCTGTCTCTTTCTTCTAGAACTCTGAAGGTGGACTCTATGTATGCATGAATACGTTTTTGGCCTTTGGAAGGGAACATGTTGAAAGACATTTTCGAAAAACTGGACAGAGCGTGTACATGCACCTGAAGAGACATGTGCGAGAGGTGAGACCCACGCTTGTAACACCGTGTTAGCGTGCTTGACCACGGAGGTTGACTGTGTCCATAGCACCTCTGCTCATTCACTTTGATGTTGGAAAGCAAAGCAGCGTGGGGTGTGGAAAGTCATAGGTTCTCCTCTGACCTCACTTTAACCACTTTCTTCTTTCTCTGGACTCCTCTGTGGGGTTGTTAACAGGATGTGGGGTGACCAATGGGAAAAATGATAATGTAAGCTTAAATAAGAAAAAATGAAGAAAGTCATGCTGGATATACTCATAGCTCCTAAAGTCAGCAGTGAAAAAACATTTGGGTGTTTTTGCTGTATACTTGATTACTTACTTATTTTTAAGGAGAGAAATACAGATTTTTTGAGAATTCTTGTCTCTTTGGTTTCTTTCCTTTCAAAGTAACCACTGCTGTGAAGGGTTGCTTTTCAGTCTCAAGCATGCCATTCATATTTGATGTATGCTGTGTGCTCATAAGCAATGTGTAGTTGCCAGGGAAGAGCTTATTCTACTGAGCCATCTCTCCGGCGCAGCAATGTGTAGTTGAACTGTATGTTTTAAAGACGTAGATACAAGCTGTCACCTTGTTACTTACAATTCCATGTAGAGCTTCCCTACTCAGTGTTGATTTTGGCATCTATGCATGTTGAGATGCCTCCAAGTGTACTTAACTAATTTTAATAGCTCTTTGGTATTCTAGCCTTGTGATTTATTCTACTCTTCTGTTCATGGCTCCTTAGATTGTTTCTATTTTTTCCTACTGAAAACAATGCAGAAACTAACATTTCTGTATATTTGTCCAGGGGGACATGTGCAAAATTTCTTTAGGAAATATATCTGCAAATGGCACTGCTAGTTTGTAGATGTGTTTATCTGCATTTTTATTAGATGAAGTCACACAATCTCTCTCCAGAGTGATTGTAGCCATTGATAGTTCTAATTGAAATAATTGTGAATTTCTCCTCTCTTCCAGCTTCACGAACCTTTGGTGAGACTCTTGATTTTTGTTAGAAAATGACATAGAAAAGCTTAATATTTCTTTCTGTGAGGACTGAATATCTTTTCATATATTTTTGTCCCTTGTGATTTTCCTTTTTCTAATCTTCCTGTTTATATTTTGGTCTTTGTGAATTCATCTTTTTCTTTATATATTTGATTCATTCTTTTTACATTTTGGTTATCAAATATTTGTCTATTATGTCCAGAATTTTCTAATAGTCCATGACTAGTCTTTGCACTTTTTCTGTGAAACGTTTTGGTAGAAGTGAACTTTTACATTCTGTTATTGTTAGATTTAATGAACTTTTCTCTTATAAGTTATGCTCTTTGTATCTTATCTAAAAGATTGTTCCTCAAATGAAGGTCACAAAGTAATTCTTGTAGCAGCTTTTAAAAAAAGTAAGTATGAGGGCTAGCTAGATAGCTCAGCAGATTAAACTGCCTGCTTAGGCAGACACAGGAACCTGGTGTGCCGTGCAGGCCCTGCCCTCAGGGTGCACTGAGACAGTGATTGAGACTGGGCGTGGTGGCACGCACCTGTGATCCTAGTGCTTGGGAGGCTGAAAACAGAAGGATCACTATGAGTCTGATCTGTGTAGTGAGACCTTGTAGACCCTATACTAAATACATAAAAAAGTAAGAATGTATGTTTTAACATTTTAAGCTTTTAATCCATCTATAATTTATTTTTGCATTTGAAGAATAGAAAACTATTTTTCCATGTTGTTAACTAACAACTTTCACAATGACCTATAGCACCATTGTTTAATATTTCAACTTGATATTCACACATGGGCTTGTATAGGGTTCTCACCTGTGTTCTGTTGATTTTATTTATCTCTCTCTATGGAAGAAGTCATGGCAAGCCTTAATTTCTAGTACTGTAGAGCAAACACTCCTTGTATGTTCATTTTTTTCCCTCTAGGACTTCTTTTTGGGTATGTTTAGATATTTGTTTTCCTAAAATGGACTTTGGAGTCAGTTCTTCTAGTTAAAAGCATACTGTTGAGATTTTGGTTATAGTCACATTAAATTTATAGATTAATCTATAATTCACACCGTTGTGTAATTCCCATAAGGCATGGACTTCCATCTGCCGTATTGATTCCTGGGTCCTTCAGCTTCTAACAGTGCCTGACTTATAGTAGGGGCGTCACAAATATTAATTGAATGACTGCTGAACCTGGACTATGTCTTTATTTTCTCATGTCTTTTTTGAAGTTCAATAATAATTTATTTAAATTTTCTGTAAAAGAATTTATCGTTTGCTGGGTTTTTAAGGTGCTCTATACCTTTTGTTACTCATGTTACTGTTTTATTTATTTGTTCAATTTTTATTTTTTTTAATGTATTTAGTACAGGATCTACAGGGTCTCACTGTACAGATCAGACTCGTAGTGATCCTCCTGTTTTCAGCCCCCAAGCACAGGGATTACAGGCGTGTGCCACCATGCTCAGTCATAGTCACTCTCAGTGAGCCCTGGGAGCGGGGCTAGCACAGCACACTGAGAACTGAACTCCAGTCCCTGTGATTACCTATGCAGGTGCTTTAATCTACTGAGCTATCTGGATGACCCTGTTTGATTGTTTATATATTTAATTGTCTATTAATGTTAGTTGGAGATATTATTAATTTTCTTTTCCTTAAATGTTAATTATGTATAGTGCTAAACCACAGAACTACAGGTTATAGATTATTTTGAATCTTCTAGTCAGTTCTGATTTGAATTTTATTTAACCTCTCCTTTTAGTTTACCTTATACGTACTCTAAGAGAAAGGCCAGAGGTCGTATAAGCCATAAATGCAAAGATTAGCTTTAAAATAATTGAATTTTGGTCTGATGTTATAAGATTTATATTCACTAGTCCTCCTGGGTATGGCATGGAAATTCTTAGGGAGTTCACTTTGGCCCATGTATGTTACTGTAAAGTGATAAAATTTTAGGTAACTCAAGCAAGAAACTGAAACTTAGAGCTTTAATAACTTGCTCAGGGTCACACCGCCAGTGGCAACATTGTGTAATGCTGATAATCTTGTACAGCCAGCTCTATCTCTAAGATTTTAGGTGAAAAAAAATTTTTTTTTCTCTCTCTTTTTTTTTAATGTCCTTGGTACAGGGTCTCACAGCCTCCCCAGTACTGGGATTATAGATGTGCGCCACCATGGCCTGCTCAGCATACCCTGGGGGTGGGAACAGCACAGCCTGTGGTGCTGGGGATCGAACCCTGGTCCCTATGCTTGCCTAAGCAGGCACTTAGCCTGCTGTGCTATCTCACCGGCCCACATTTCACTCTTTGACTGCTGTCTCCACTTGTTTTTGCTCTTTCACTCTGTCATTCTGATTTGGAACCATTGCCTCCTTAAGTCTTAGCCATGACTTGTTTACCTTGGTTCTAATAACACAAGGTTGTAAACATTCTGTCAGCAGCAGTTCCTGTAAGTGACCTTGTTCCCTTGTCTTGCCTCCTTGCCTGTCCCTCAGAACTCCAACCAGTCAATCCATTAGTGGTTCTCTCTCTTTCCATGCCTGGCGACCCCAACTATCATAGCATCTGGGTCTATGTTTGTTTGTTTTGCATTACTGTAATAAAATACCTCAGGAGGGCTAACTTGGTAGTGTAGAGATTTATTTATCTCAAATATTGGAGGATGAAATTACAAGAAGCAATGTAAGGCTCTGATAAAAACCCCACGAAAAATGGCTGCTGGTGGAGTATGTGTGGAGGAAGAAATCACATGAAACAGGAGACCGGGGTCTCACAGTCCCTTCTGAGGGCAGGCCCCCATAAGGAGCTCCCATGGAACTGCATGCTTAACGGTCCCACCACATCCCCGTTCCACACTGAGGATCAAACCTCCAGCACATGCTCCTTTGGGAGGGGATGGTAAACAGCATCCAAATGGCAGTAGATAATCCATCAGATTCCTGGGTCTCCCCTTTTCTGGGTCCTCTCACTGCCTGTGTCCTCCCCATTCTCCTGTGTGACCACTTTGAACTTCGGATGTTTTCCTCAAGCCTCTATCAGCATTTACTATTCTCAGAAAACTACTTTGACTTGTGCATTACGGAGAAACCTGGGACCCAGGGACAGGGCTTCCCATAACTTCCTTCTTGCATCCTGGAGGCTTGTCTGCATGTTTCCACTTTTGTTTTACTCCCATCTCAGCCAAGAACTGTGATGTATCTGTCCTCATGGTGCTGGTTCCTCCTCGCTCACAGACTTGTTTGCTCCTTCATGGCACTACATGTGACAGCCCAGGATTTCTTTTTCCTAGTGTATTGTCTTCCATGTTAGCATCTTCCACAAAACTCTTCCTACAGTTTGTGTTCTTCTAGGTCGTAGTATCCGTTGATAGCAGCTTCTTTAGAATCTTTTCTTTTTTCATAGTCACTATGGCACCTCCCGTTAGGACTCAGCATTGAAGTCTGATCGATTTTGTTACTCTGCAGACTTGCCAGCGGTGTCCCTGAGCTCTTGCTTGCTGTAGTGTTTGGTTCATGCATTTTATCTCAGATATTACCTGACATTTTGAGTATTTGAATACTTGAGCTTATTTTTTCATTGGAACTGTTCCTCTCGTTTTACTGGCATCATCGTTTCTCAGCTTTCTTCCTTTTTTCTGATTGCCCTTAGCATTTTTAAAAAGTAGCATGCTTTCTTTTGTTTACTCCTTAGCTGTTGGCATTGTCTAAGATGCCATTTGACTAGCCTGTTTTCTTTCTCCAAAAGATGCCCATCTTCACATCAATGTTCTCCATATCCTTCTTCAACCAATTAATTTAGAAGCTCTAGCAGTAGTCCTATACCGAGTACTAAGACAACGACAGTAGGGACAAAAAGGACTTCAAGGGCCAGCCAAATAGCTCAGTGGATTAAAGCACCAGTTTAGGCAGATTCAGGGATCTGGGGTTTGATCCCCTGGCCTGCCGTGCTGGCCCCGCCCCCAGGGCACACTGAGTCGGCAATTGAGACTGGGTGTGGTGGCACGCGCCTGTAATCTCAGCTCTTGGGAGGCTGTAAACAGGCAGATAAATCTGAGTGTGATCTAGTAGTGAGACCCTGAACACCCTGTTAGACCCTTCCCTAAAATACCAAAAAAAAAAAAAAAAAAAGACTTCAGAGCTATTTGGGAAGCCTAGATGACAAGACTTAATCATCAACACCACACAGAAGGAAGATAGAACCCAAAAGGTATCTAAGTCTTCGGAACTCCGGAGGAAGGAGTATTTTGAGAAAGCTGAGAGTGCAGCTTGGGCACGCTGAACTTGAGGCTACCTGTGAGAAGTTGATGGAAAAATAAAATCCAGGTCACAGTTGACTGGTCAGATCTCAGGTTCTGGAAGCTTAGAGAAAATGGTTAAAGATACATCTATATTAGAAGCCGTAAAAACTTACTCTGAGAAGCACAGAGTTGGCTTGTGAGTTCATATAATCAAATGTGGGTAAGGAGACTTAGGACTTTTAAGACATAGATAATGCACAGCAAAGCCTGGAGGCTGGTGGTTGCATGGAAAGATGCTGAGCTTGGACCCACACAGGCCATAGTGGTCGGAAGCTTGGTCTTTTCTAATTACTGAAAAAATACAATGTGGAAGTGGTCACATCCACTTGAAATTTTTATAATTATTCTAGTCTTGAGAGTAAAATTACTTGCTGCAGCTTCAAGTAAATAGCCTCTTTGGTCAGTCTTGCTGGGCTTTATTGTAGTGGGGACTTGCATGCTAAGCAGAAATGCCTTAAGGTTAGGGTGGCAAGCATGGCCATCTAATCCGCTCCAGAAGCGTTTAGAGAGGTATAACATGAGAGTGTGATACCTCTGTGTGGATACTTATGAAACCCTTTAGCACTAGCTGATCATGTACAAGACCAAGCAGGTGTCCCCTGGATAGTAGGAGATGGGACTTCCATGCCTGGAGTCACAGTCATTTTCTCCCACTCTCATCATTTCGTGTGGACTCCAGCCCCCCTTTGTTGGCCCTGCTGATTGAAGCTTAAGCATCTACTTTTCCTGGGCCTTTGATTCCCACTTCCGTTAAAGAAGTGCTTTCCGTAGACTGTGGTGAGTGTGACCAGGTGTGCTGGGAGTACTGTACTCCACCTGACTTCTTTTATCCTGGAATCTCTAGTCCAGCTTGAATATTTCTTGCTGGTCTTTTATAAAAGATGGGAACTTTTCATATAACTTTTAATCAAAATTGGGTGTTTTTCTTTTCAAAGTTTATTTCATAGGCAGTATTCTAACGGTCTCTTATTTTCTTTTCAGAAGGTAAGAGGGGCATCTGGTGGAGCTTTACCAAAAAGGAGGAATTCCAAGATTTTTTTAGGTAATGTAAATAGCTATTAATTGTGTCCTCAGACTGTGTATGTGTGTGTGTGTGTGTGTGTGTGTGTGTACATGCCTTTGTCTGATTTGAAGTCACACTAGTTTTTTTAAATTGCTCTAGAATTTAAGGACAAGAGGACCAGTTTTATTTTGTTTGCTTGTTTTGTTGAGATAGAGTCTCACTATGTAGTTCAGGCTGCTCCTGAACTTGCTGTGTAGTCCAAGAAGGCTTTAAGTTCACAGCGATCCTCCTGCTTCAGCTTCCTGAATTCTGGGATTAGAGGTGTGTACCACCCACCCTGGCCAGAGGCTCACTTTTCATTGGGAGTCTCTGACTGCATTTACTTCAAGTTGAAGGATAGTTTTAGCACATTTAGTTGGGGCTCATAGTTTAAAGCAATTATAGTGAATATATATAGAGAGTAATTATTATCCTATTTTTTATGTCTTTTTTTATTTACTTTTAAGAAGAGTCAAGTTCAGGGGCCTGAGTTCAATCCCTGGTTCCACCAAAAAAAAAAAAAAAAAAA